CAGCTGGAAAACACACACACACACACACACACAGTCATTAAAGACAAAAGGGTGAGGGCAAAACACTACAGACACAACTAAGTACAATCAATGGCACCTGTGTTCTGCCCTGGACAATTTGAAGTATTACAAAAGGCACTTGGGATAACTGATGGAACAGGCTGGACTAGAAAACTGGGTCAATCTTAAAATGTTCTATTTTGATAACTGTACCATGGTTAGTATGAGCATTTCTATTTTTTTTTAAGATTTTATTTATTTGACAGAGAGAGAGATACCACAAGTAGGCAGAAAGGCAGGCAGAGAGAGGTGGAAGCAGGCTCCCTGCTGAGCAGAGAGGCTGACAAGGAACTTGATCCCAGGGACCTGAGATCATGACCTGAGCTGAAGGCTCACTCAACTCACTGAGCCACCCAGGCGCCCCACGCATCTCCCATGTAGGTCCAAAAACCTACATTAAAATATTAGGTACAGGGGCACCTTGGTGGCTCAATCATTTAAGCATCTGACTTGATTCCAGGTCAGGTTGTGATCTCGGATTGTGAGATGGAGCCCCGCAGGCGGCTCTGCAGCATCCTGCTCCACGCCAGGCATCATGCACGCTTAGAATGCCCTCTCCCTCCCTCCCCCTCTGCGCCACAGCCTCGCACTCCCTCCCAGAAGCCCCCCCCAACCCGGTTTTAAGAAATGAAGTGTTAAAGCGCATGTTTGAAGAGAAGACGCAAACACAATAAAGGGGCACAATGTAAACAACATAAACAATGTTGAGCACAAAGGAGAAACCACGGCACTATTCTTGTAATTTCAGTCAACTCTATGCCCAACCTGAGTCTTGAACTCACACCATTGAGATCCCTCTTGATCTCATGCCACTGCATGCTCTAAGGACCAAGCCAGCCAGGTGCCCTTTAAATGATACCAGTAACAAAGATAAAAAGTTTAAGAAGCACCTTGCAGACTAAAGGCCTACAGAAAACACAGACTATTTCTGCAGGTACTGACTCAGTTCACGGAGGTGACCTAGCTCTGGCCTTGTTAATGTTTGAACCATGGTATTTCATGGGTAGCTGTGCAAGTCATGCTTTTATCAATGAAAAGGAACAAAAATTTTCTTAATTCGAGAATAAAGCTACATGTATTAACTTTTGTAAAGCCTTACACCCAACATGGACTTAAACTCACAATCTGGAGATCAAGAGCCACATGCTCTACCCACTGAGCCACCCAGGTGCCCCAGTGGCACAGTTGGTTAAACATCCTACTCTTGGTTTCAGCTCAGATCCTGATCTCAGGGTCATGGGACTGAGTGTAGCATTTTGCTCCACGTTCAACCAGTCTGCTTAATACTCTCTACCCCCTCAGTCTAAAATAAATCAATCTTTAATGGCAAAGAAATGTATATATAAAACATCTATATTTTGTTAGACAAAAGTGTCTTTGGAGAACCAGTAACTGAAAGTAGTTTCATACAGCTGCTAAATTTCATCCTAATATGGAATCTCTCCCCACTTCTTCCAAATAAGATACTATATTGGGAGAACTTGAGATTTGGACCTGAACCATAAATTTCTCTAAAGTCTCCTTCAGTATTTTTCATCATTTTGACAGAATAGGGTATAACCTGCAGATTCCACACTATCCTTTTTCACTACCAATCCTCCCCCGCTGTTCTTGTCTATACTAAAATGAACTATAAAGGGCTCTTTACATGGACTCTCAATAGGTTGGTTTCCTACTCACAGGTTTTCCATGCCCTTTTGCTTTCACAAACAGCCCCAGTCTCTAGGCTAGAGCCTAATCACAACCTCCACTTGACTCCTCAGAGTACTTTGTGATCCTTCCAAAGAGCACTTGAATTATACCCATCCCCTTCCAGTCCTGCAGCTGTTCTCTACCTTTCATAGTCCCATCTTTCAGATTTTTCGTTTGCTCCTCCCCACTCATCTATCAGCTCCCACATCTGTCTACACTTCTACTTTCAACTATAATTCTTGCATACTCTGGTTGGCCTCCCCACTATGAAGGACATAAATCTCATTTACTGGTCACTTAAACACTTCGTCCATCTCCACCTAACTCTTCTCTCCATTCAGAAGTCACTTAGGGAGCCAGGAGCTCTGGCTCAGATCTTCCGTGGTACTGACACCAAGGAACTGCTCCTAGTACTTAAAACCATCACCATTACAAACATGTCTTCCTAATTTTTGATCCAGATAGGTGTACACAGTAGCCAATAGTAGCAGTTCCTCAAGAAACTCTGAGGGATCTGGTTTGGTAAAGGTAAAAGGTAGAAGCAATCAGTTCACCCTGCCAGGCTGATAAAGGGCAGAGACCAAACAACTGAACGAAGTATGAATATCCAGGTCTCTACAGCTTTGGCAAGTTTTCCTTCTCATCATCAAATTCTAGATACTGTGGGTCCACAGCCTCAGCAAGACACAATGCCATTCGACCACAACTTGAAACATGCATCAGACAGCTAAGTCTAAGAGCTCTCCTATTGCTCAACATTTTCAGCACTTTTGCCTACGTCCTCAACACTTGTCTAACGAGCCATTTCAGAAAACCAAGTCATTTTACTTCAACAGTGTACTGTTTGGTAATACACAGCCTGATTAGATCACCTTACTCACGACTCATTACCATCTTTGGCCATTTCAAAAAAATAAATACACAAGCCAACTCTGTCAAGGTATAGTCTCTCACTTTAAAGGGGACAGCGTATCTGAGCTAAATGGGACACTCTGCTACACCTCATACAGACCTACTCACATTTTGATCAAATTATCCAAATAAAAACTAAGAGAAAACCTAAAATGTTGCTACATACCCATTTGCTCAGGAGAGTCTATAGCAGACTACTGAATTTTCAGGAGCTGGGAGTCTAAGGCACCCTTCTTAGAAGTCCAACAGTTCATTCTACTCAAGGTGAAAGAACCCATTCTCTATTTCAGCCAATGTTAGGGAACACTAGCTTATTGCCTTGGGTTCTAAATCTTGTTATTCTTATTACAATAGAATTCAGTTTATAATCATTACAGTATTCTCTGCTTGAAACATTTTAATAGTGTTGCAGGGACTAGTAGAAATAGGAAAATCTCTTGCTATTTGTTGATGGAAAAAGTTAACACAAACCTCCAAAATGTCATTTGTAGGCCATAGGAGCATGAGCACAACCATATGGGAGGAGATAACCAGTCTCTCCCTTCATATATATTTTTTTATTTTCTTGTTATACCTTCCCAAAACAGAGACATTCAACAGTAGTTAGAGAATGGCCATCTCCCAACATTTAAAAAAAACTGCACCCCCCAATGGGTGAACAAAGTAGAGTGGTAACCTAGAGTTCAGCTGGGTAAGCCACTGCGGAGCCTTAAGTGGTGAGGTCTTCCAATTTCAGAGTGATGTGTCTTCAACTTGTATCATATTAGTGGAAAAACATAACTTAATTTTGGTGAAATGAGATTCATCTCCCGACAGGATTAGTAACAGCATTCACTGAATTTCACATTCTTCTTTTGTGAACTGTGAAGAAAATGAATGGTAGCTAGAAGATCAATGGGATTCCAGCTCCAGCTGCAGGTGGAATGAAGATATACCAGGACAAAAACACCTATATTTTGATTTACAAAGCTAACAGCAGTTTTAAATCTGCAACTTAATTACAGACCAACTACACCACAACCTTTTCAAATGGCAAAAATACAAAAAAGTTAAGTGTTACAAAAATATTTCAGAAAAAGTGCATAGTCTAAGTGCATAGTAAATAAAAGCACTGAAAAATATCTTGCTAGAGGGAGTTCAGCTTGGAAAAGTTATTACCAAAGCTAAACATTTTTATTTTACACAAACTATACTCAAAAATAGCTTTATGAGACTGATTTCTGGCTAAAAGTATCAAAGGGTTTATTAGTCAAGAAACAAATACCTTAACTGACACAGGTGGATAGAAAAGAAACAAGTAAGCTGCCTACCCCAAAAGTTCGCACTCATTAAGATTTCTGCAGTGTGATGGTGCTAACAGATCCTTTAATAGCAGAATGTGGTTGGTAATCATGGGATTAATTATTGCTAAAGTAGTTTTAAAAGAGAAAAAATAAAACTTAAACCTGACACAATCTGACCAAACATGTGTCAATGTACAGTTTCAAGGTAATTTTTACAAAATACCTACATTTACACAACAGGCTTCTGGCAGCCATTTTCAGACAAAGGTTCTTTTAATTTATCTTGACATGCTATAAATGAATAAATTACACTATTTAAAGAATTACTGTCAATAAGTTTTTCTTTCTCTTGTGTCAGAGAGAGGCAAGAAAAGAGTGCATTTAAGATTGAGAGGAAGCGCAGATAACTGAGGGAAAAGAACAGGGGCTCAGGGAGGGTCAGCAATCACATGAACCTCACCCGGTGGGATGCTCTCCAAGGTTAAGAATCTGCTCAACTCCAATTAACACGGAATTTAAAGAAAAACTATAAAATGGTAGTTAAACCCTTTAACGCTTTCATTCTTACTCAAAATCAGTCCAGCTGTGTAGTCTGAGGCTGCAGGAGTTAACACCACCAAGCCCTGGCCACTGCAGCACTAGGTACTGTGCCTGCAAGTCACTAAAAAAAGAAAAATGGAAGAATGCCTTTCCCCTTCAGACCAGGGGGAGGAAAAAAAAAAATTAAATAAAAAAAAAATCTGAGGAAAAGTTATTAACACTAAATCTAAAATGATTTGCAAAGGAATAGTATGTAACAAATGGCTTGAAGTAGTCTATTAAAAAACTGGGGAGATTTTGATTTCATAATGAGTCAGCAAGGCATTTTTGTTAAAAAAAATCTCATTTCCTTACAGAAACAGTTTTTAGTTTTTAATGAACTTGTAAACAAAAAATGCTCCCATTTCAAAATAAAAACAAAATCCCAGATCATATAGATGTTTACAGTGATTACATTTATCTAAGCAACATACATACATGTTCAGTTGTAAGATGTTAACTAAATTTCTGTGACAAATATGCTTTTTTTTTTTTTTTAATACCAAGAACATTATAGAGTTAATGCAGAGTCCTAAGGATAATCTAGTAGTCACTAAGTTTTTCTTAAGTCTTCACTTTAGATGCTGTTATTTCTAGCACGGGTAAGCAGGCAGAGTCTTTCGTATGCTCAAACACTGGAATCTTTGGTTGCTACCATATCAGCTGGCTTGCAAACAAGAAGCCAACCATTTTAAGAATGTTTTAAGTGAACAACTTGCAAACCCCAGGGATGGATAAACCCTAAGAATGCACAATTGTGAGCATTTACAACCATCACAACTGTGGCTGAAGACTGTTCATGCCGTTCTTCTGAAATGAGATCTCAAAGCAGTATAGTTCAAAATAAAAGATTTTAACAAAAAAATTGGCATATGCACAATTTCTCCACCAATTTGTGTGTGTCAACCATTTAGTTAACTTTTCCACTTGAAAAAATGCAATAGAAAACTGGACACCATGTTTCACTATCTCAGTTAATATTCACAATTACAGCGGCTACAACTCGGGACACGGCATCACCAATGCTGCCCAGAGCCAGTTTATACTGAAATTAAGTTCTTTACACCAAGTAAATGGTTGTTCACAACCACTGGCTAGTGTACATATGAACTAAAATTCCTAGATTTGGGGAGAAACAAATGCTGCTCCGATCATCTGCTCTGCTTCTTCTGTTCCTCAATTCATGCTTAGAAACCTGTTTAAAAAAACAAAACAAAACAAAACAAAAAAAGAAAAAAACAATGTTAAAATTCCAAGTTAAAAAATATATATTTTTAAAAAACCACACCCAAAATTGGGAAATTGGGTGAAACTGAGCTAATAATTATTTTAGAGTGGTGACTCATGTTACAATCTCATCTATTTGAAGATGACTAGAGCTCAATTTTTTAAAACAACAAAAAGCCCTTTTCTGTTCTGGATGCCTTTAGGTAGGAGGGGTACAGAGTCAGTCTTCCCTCCCAGTCAGCATGTAATTCTCAAGCTAGAGAATTACTGGTGATTTCAATGAACTTGTTTTGTTTACTTCCATTATTTCTAGTACCTATGTGTTTAAGTATCTATCAAATGAATGAAAAATAGATAGCTTTGCCTTAAAACTAGAAAGTATGTAACGTTTTAATCGTACTATGTGCAAGAAAGAAACTTTCTGCACATTGTTTCTGATACAAGTAAACAACAGTAAGGTTTAATAACAAATATACTCAACAAATAACCGAATCATTCCATGGAACACAATCCTGGTAAGTGTATGACTTTTATACAGAAACCATGTACCTTTCAAAATTCTTTGCTTCCATCAATCACATTACAAAGGTGAGGTTTTGCCCCGTTTGAAAATATAAACAATTAAGGCCTTGGGGCGGGGATGGGGGGATGGTGTGTCTTTATTTACTAAAGCCTTCCCACCCTATAAACGATACCCTCCTCCCACACAATTAGACTCTGAGACTTCCACCTCCAAGGAGGTTTGAATAGAAAAACAGCTTCAGGTAATAGCTCCATATTCCATCTGTGGCTAAAGACTACTAGAGGAAATGCTGATCTCTATTACCTGCAAGTTCCATCTATGGCTAAAGGCAGAAAGGAAATATGCCCACTTCTCACCAACTTCAAAATCCCATCAGTACCACCTCTCTTGTAAGAGCCATCCTTCTAGGTGTCTGTACCCCTTGGTGCACCCTCCCCCCGCAAACTCTTACAGCTGCCTCATTACTGCTCCTTGTAGCTCACTTTGATCTCTCACTTCTTCAGCACTGACACCATGTTTTTGTTAATCAGTAACCTTCCCCCTTTTTTGTGCTTTTCAAGCATTTGTTGGACCATCTCCAACAGGCTTTGTGAGATAAATAAAAATACTATGCTTCTATAATTTACTTTGCATGAATGTAGGCCCCTCTCTTCCAAGATAACATCAGACATTTATATACCATTTCTTGGTTAATACTGTCTGACTTGGTAACTTAAGTTTTTCCATTTGAGGGCAGAAAGTCCTCTTCATCCACTTAAAAATATATTGGGCTAAAGACCTGAGGACAAACAAGTATCAAAACACTTCTTTCTCTCTCCACATTAACTAATGGGAGTTGGTACAAAACAGACCTTTGTTGCCTGCCCAAGTACTAAATTCATAAAGCAAATGCCAAAAATGAAAAACAGTGAAACTTTCTAAAAATGTACTTTGCCACAAGGAGTATTATCTATTTGGTGTTTATCACTAAAAAGAAGTACAAAGGTAAGCATAAAAAGAGAACCCTGTCAAACCAAACCTGAATTAAAATTTTAAAATAAGACCATATTCTGTAACCTAATGCCAATGTTAGAATACTATAAAGCAGATTAAAACTATGAATTAGCTAAAGAGAAATGACCCTTACCCACATGAGCATTTAAGTCCCGCAATTATTCTTAAATATGGTTAACGAAAAATGTTTACGCAACTACGAAAATGATTTATCATAGCTATGCAATTACATTACATTGAGCAATTTAATTACTATGTTGAATATCCAAAGAGCTTCAAAATAGAAACCACTGTCACTAAAAAGAAGGCTTAAGTTATATTGTCAGTCAAAATATTAGAAAACTCTCATCTTTAATAGGGATAAAAATTATATCTAGATAAGAATTGTACTGTTCATCTTTTAATCTGATATTTTAGAGATTCCTGGGTCAATTAATGATTACAATTGCTTAGGGGATAAGATAAAGGCTAGCCTAAAAATATTCCCGGTAGAAGAAAGCAGTCAAACGCAGATTTAACTCTTCAGATTGGTCAACAGTAGGATACTCCACCCAGGGATCAATGTTTCTCCAGTGAACTGTCCTAAGATGTTACTGAAGTTTAAGAAAAATCTCAATGGGAGCATTCAGTGGGTATTCAACATTTAATCTTCAAGTGCTGGTATTCTTTTTCCCAGTGTGCTTGAGTCCTTGGTTTTTATCTTGTGGTTTAGGTGGTCTCTCCTGGCCTTCTGGCTTCTAAAAGTCCCAAAACCCATCTTCACTGCAACAACAGTTACAATAAGGAATGGATCCCTTTGTTCCTTTAAAAAAAAAAAAAAAAAAAGGAAAAAACAAAGTTAAAACAGAGTTGGATGATCACTGGGACCACTGAGTTAATAGCTACATTTAAGTTTCTTTTCAATCTGCAAAAGGAAAAAAATGATTGTATTTATTTCACTATGGAGATTCTCCCCTTCTATCCCTTACTCCAAAATTTGAAGAGTATATATTGGCTTTTATTTGTGAATTCACTTCAGATGTCCCTGATTTTCTTTTCTTTTCTTTTTTTTTTTTTTTAAATAGAACCACAAACTAGTTCAAACAGCTATTTATATAACAGTATGGCTTGGAAGTCTGTGATGGACCTTTGAAATTTTGGGATCCTTTCACAGCAGAAAACTATTTTTTCTAGAAAACAATTTTTTAAAAGGAGTCTGAAGACAAGATCCATTCTTAAAATGCAATGTCATTTATCAGTCAACTTTTCTACAACATGCCTGTGTGGGTTTTTTGGTTGCACAAAAATCAGAATCAGGCTTGGACAATTCTGAACCAGACTGGCACTATAAACGTTAAAGAAGAAAAACAAACAACTACAGTAACTTTTCCTAACTAAACTAAAAATGTATTAAAAGTTGGGAAAGATATAAGATAGATTTTTACTTTTATCACTACAAATAAACAACTTAAGTATACAAATACACATTACCGCTAAAATGCATTAAAAAAAAAAAAAAAAAACAAAAACAAAAACAGACTAACAATCTGCTTTCTTTTGTCTTCCCTATTACAGAATTCCGAGGTTGTTGAATTTTAAAATACCTGTTACAACGGACTCCTTCCCCAACTGGTAGATGGTCTGCATTCTACACCACTGAGTCACAGCAACACTGCACTCTTCTAGGTCTTCCAACTGTTGTGGTCTCCATCCAGACAATCTGACAAGTTGGAAGTTTTTGATAGGTCCAGCAAGCCTTGAAGATGTGGGCTTCAGATCGCCACAAATCAATTCTTGCACACTTCTCTTCACTTCCTGTTGGGTTACTGGGCTCTTTCCTCTCCAGTTGTACTGTCCACAGTGAAAAAAGCTGACAAAAATTTCAGCGCGCAGACGTAGCTCCCTGGCACTTCTTTAGACTGAGTGTATTCAGAGAAGATCAGTTTCCAGATATTTCAAGGTCTTCCCCTGTGATTTGGGTTACGTTGCTGAGTGACCAGCCACGTTCCTAGCAGCAATTGGTGAAGTCAGAAAAAGTTAAGCTAGAGATAAATGGTAGGTGAATCCCAGTTAATACTGGAAGGCAATTCAAGGAAGACCACGGACATGGTAGGAAAATGTGATGGAAAAATACGGAAGACCACGGAAATGGTAGGAAAATGTGATGGAAAAATACTCCTATCTTCTATCAGCAATCTGACATCCATCTATATTATGATAAAACTACACCTGATATCAATGGTTGGAGCAGTGAACAGATGGATTAAGATGATGAGAAAAGAAATGTGAGGAACCAACTTGGCTTCACTACCTTCCGAAATTCTCCCCATCTCTGACCTCAGCTAAAGAAATGGTGGATTTAACTGGATTCTGAATGTCCTAAAAATATTTCCTTTTCCTTTAGTACTTCTTAATGTCTTGAAAAGTACTCTCCTGATAATCACATATAGTTGAAGGAAGTGAAATGAATTTGAAAGTGCCTCAGATGTGAATCTTTTATTTTTCTCCTTAGTATGTACAAAAAAGTAATCATAATCTCACGGCACAAGAGCACTTCAGATTAGTACAGACCATAGTAGGCTTTACAAGAAATGCCTTGTTTCTTAGTCTTTTGATGGGCTTTGGAATGGAGTTATTTCAAAAGATCTTTTCTTTAGAAAAGTAATTAGCAAAGAAGTCTATTACATATAACAAGCCCATCTCAGCTAAGGCAGACTTTAAAGAGTCTTTGGCCATTCTTAGTGAACTGCTGAAACAATCTACACTTTTCCACGGAAGACACATTTGATATAAATTTATCAAAAAATAGAAGTAATATAAATGTTAGTTACCACCACCATTTGGGGGATTTTTCCAGGAATACATATTCCTACAATATATAGCCCTACTTACTGAAGATTCATTAAGAAACTCAATTCTCTGTGGAAAACCTGAGACTGTAACACCATGAACGGAAACTGGTATGATGTATTTAAAAAGCATCTTCTAAAATTTTAATTAGAAAATGTACTATGGTGTTATCATCACTGAAAGCAGATTTCTTGGAATCAGCAAACAGCTGAGCTGAATGAACTCTTCCTTGAATAAAAAACTACTGTACTGGACCTTGACAGAATGTGCTTTCAACCACTCTTATTAATTAGAGACTGAAATCAGGAATAAGTAATCTAGAGTGACTGTCTTCAAACTCCAGACCTCAGAAAAGATCTGGGGTTGGAGTTAAGGAAATGGGCTCTCCATTCTTATTCCCTGCCACTCTCAAACCTGCTATACTTTTCCTAGCTTCATACCTAGGGGGTTTCATGTGATAGTTGTTGGGGACACTAAGCTCTCTAACGAAAATAAATGTTTTCAAGAAGTAAAAAGATCAAATACGACTCTGTTGTTTGTATTCTGTGGCATGGCACGTTTTAGCAGCAAGGAGTATTTCACTTGAAATCAAAATATACTACTTCAAATGTTTCTCTGAAAGTAGTCAATGATAAGTGATACATTTTCCGCAAAGTCCAATTCTTCAAAATTTTACAGGTTGGTGTTTATGAAAAACAATTTGTATAAACCCTGGGTCTAACACTGCTACGAAAATTTTGCAAGATTTTCTTTTCTTTCTTTTTTAAAAAATTAAACTCTAAAAAAATAATAATAATAAATTAAAAAAATTAAACTCTATCCCCAATGTGGGGCTCAAACTCATGACCCTGAAATCAAGAGTCGCATGCTCTGACTGAGCCAGCCAGGCACCCCAAATACCCTGTAAGATTTTTAAGTTGCTTTTATGAAAAATAGTTACAATACAAAATTAAGGATTAAACTTAAGTTTAATTACAATTTCTTTCCAAGGAAACATACTAACTCAGTGGATCCAACTTCTCATCTTTAAGACCTAGGACAGGTAGGACAAAAATTCTTCTTGTTTATTGAGAAAGACACAGACAGTGGAACCAACTCAAAATAAGGGAATTCTTTCTGAAAGCTGCTGTATGCCTGAAGTGAAATGTTCTACATCAGACAAGATTTCAATCTAATTTTAGTTCTAGAAACTGCAACTTGTGATGATCCTATTATCCCAGCTAGCTTTAGGCAAAAATTGGTTTCATTTTATGAAAAAAAGCAAATACCCTATAGATATCAGGTGTAACAAGTCCTAAGTCTAGAACGTTACACTGGTATGACCATTTCTGAGAGATACTACCTAGCAACCTACCTCATTAAGAGTTTGGCACTGTGGTTAGTCATGCAATGATTAAAACACTCAAAAGGGACAATTAAGTCCCAACTGAGACACAGAGGCAAGCGTTAGTGTTTGCTATCCTGAGCTGAAATTTCATCATCTAAGAAACCCCATTACATTAAGCCTTCAACTGTGAATCCTTCCCAAACACAGAAACATGGAAGAGAAGAATCTCAACTTCATTTCCTAATAGATGAGCTGCTGGGATGAGGATGACATCAGTGAATTATACTTCCTGAACAGTATCCTCAGGTTAGTGTCTCTTTTTAAATTACAGAATTTTTAAAAAAAACACAATACTAAAAATATAGACCCAAAGACTAAGTTCAGACTAAAGCAGTCATTCAGAAATTAAATAATTAGAAACCAAAGACCAAACCTTACCTGCCCACCACTTCCAGAAAGTAGGCAGGTATCAGGAGGTAAGCCCCAGAAAGGGCGCAAAGAAAAACAAAAACAATGAAACTGAGGAGTCGAACTGTATGGCAACGGTGACAAGAATGGAGCTGTGCCCTAACAGTTCCACTCCTTGTAGCACTGAGAGTGCCAGAGACAAACAGGAAACAGACTAGTAGTAGTTTGGTGGCATTTGCCCCAAGTTTCTTTTCATTTTGCAAAGCCTAACAGCAGAATTCAATTCCATAACGAGCCCCCAGACCCTGAATATTTGCAAGATTTTATAAAATAGAGTCCAAAACAAAACAACTGTTTTGACATTAAGAACCTTATGTAGTTAAATAGCCACTAAAAGAGACATCTGGTTTTCGACTTAGGAAAGACGCGTCAAGCTTTTCAGTTATTTGAGCATTTAAAGAGCACAAAGGAGATGCTCTGAAACTGAGAAGATAGACACTTTGGGGGCAATGCCAGACTCACCTCCGGAAATTAGATCATGTTCACAATTTCCCATTTTAAATGCTAAAACATTAACATGCAGAAAAAAATTTTTAACACTGTTAGTCTGAAATAAAGTCCAAATACCATAACTAACCAGATTCATTATTAAAAATCAACAAGTGTTAGGTCTAGGATTTTGGATTGATTGATTATACCATATTCCCAACACCAAATGTTTATTTTGGAAAGGGTTAATGAATGAGTAAAAAAGATGCAGTTGTTAAAAATGACCCAAAATCCCAAGAGAATGATATAATATATATACACACATATATGTATATACATATACATATATATATGAACAAGGACATTTGGGTTTAAAGTTAGTAGTCAAATTTTCCAAGGACGTCTTTTTTTAGAAACACAGAGCCAAATTTTTATTTATTTTAAAACCACCTCCTCGATCTAACACTGTTAGAAATGAATGAATTACCCAATTTTGTATTCAATTTGTTCCCTGTAACGTCACTTGGTTCTTGGCTACTAACCTTTCATGTTACTCTTGGTTTTGTCAGTTTGCTTGCCTGTGGGGGTTTGGGCCTGCTGACCCTGCCCACTTGAAGAGGCTGCCTGCTGTGCTGCTTTCTGCTTTAACATTGTCCAATCAAATGTGTAGTCATATTGGTGGTTCAGGGTCCTGGAAAACATAAAATGATATATGTCAATCCTTTAATAATAGTCTAGTTAAATACTCTATTGAGCTTTCAAGACAGTGAGGGACTTTCTAAGGAAATCAGAGTATTTTCTCTTAGGTATGGTAGCTTCTAGAAGATTTCATTCCATATACATGACTTTTTAACTGTTCAGTTCATTAATTCCACTTTTTACAAGTCACAACTGAAGGAGAATGATGTCACCACTTCAGTCTGATGTATTCATTAAGAATAATCTTTTTCGAAAAGAAGCCACCTTTCTTACTTTCTAGAAAGAGGCAGGGGAGTGAGAATGAACCGTAGCATAACAACAAAAACATGGAGTCAAGCTGTCAATTATCTAGGGAACCACCCAACCAGGAGGTACCTCCTAAGAACTAATCAGATAAGTTTAAGAACACAAGCTTGTGGGGGAGACGTGTATGCTGGTGGCTTGCAAAGACGACTTTTCTGGGGTTAGAGAATTACCCCCAATTCTTACCCTCTTCCAACTAAGACTTCAGGCCACATGTACTTTATTCCCTCCAACTAAGACTTCAGGCCACATGTACTTTATTCCCTCCATGCTCAAGACCACTTCTGGGTTGCACCTAGGGAACCCTAGAGTCTGAGGCCTGACTCCACACAATCATAGGCCCCATAACTATCTTAATTAGTTGATTTTGTTATTAACAAAACAAACTGTATTGTTATTAACAAAAAAACTGTAGCAAAGCTATAGAGTTCCAAGGGCCACCAATAATCACTTCTAATATGAATGGCAATTATCGTGGAAAAGTTAGATTCTACTTTGAGTCTGAATCAACAGTTTCTCCAACCCAAACTAAAAAAATTCCAAGCACATTTGCACCACAAATGGGAACATGCCAAACTCAGTCTCTTTATTTTTTTTAATTTTTTTTAAATTTTTATTTATTTGACAGACAGATCACGAGTAGGCAGAGAGAGAGGAGGAGGCAGGCTCCCTGCTGAGCAGAGAGCTCGACGCGGGACTCGATCCCAGGACCCTGAGATCATGACCTGAGCTGAAGGCAGAGGCTTTTAACCACTGAGCCACCCAGGCGCCCCTCTTTATTTTTTTAAAAAATATTTTATTTATTTATTTATTTAACAGACAGCGAGCAAGAGCAAGCACAAGCAGGGGGAGCGGCAGAGGGAGGAGGCTCCCCACTGAGCAAGGAGCCCGATGTGGGGCTAGATCCCAGGACCCCAGGATCATGACCTGAGCCGAAGGCAGATGCTTAACTGACTGAACCACCCAGGTGCCCCTCTTTTAGTGTTTTTTTCCAAACTCAGTTTCTTAAAATTTTATTCATATGGGTTAGGTCTGCTTTTAATTTGCTACTTGTCAGAACAGATGTGTTGGGTGGATTTAACTAGTTTCCCTCACTAGAGTCTACAGTCTTAAAAACGCCTTAAAAACTGGCCTGAAGGGGCGCCTGGGTGGCTCAGTGGGTTAAAGCCTCTGCCTTCAGCTCAGGTCATGATCCCAGGGTCCTGGGATTGAGCCCAGCATCCGGCTCTCTGCTCAGCAGGGAGCCTGCTTCCCTTCCTCTCTCTGCCTGCCTCTCTGCCTACTTGTGATCTCTGTCTGTCCAATAAATAAATAAATAAAATCTTAAAAACAAACAAACAAAAAAACTGACCTGAAAAGAATGCGGAATAGCTGCCTCAGATACATGTAATCCGGGGCTTCCTCAAAGCGCAGCCCACGACAATAGTTTAAGTACATGGCAAATTCTGCAGGAAACCCCTACAAATTCAAGAGTTAAAACACAAAGTAAAAAAAACAAGAAGAAGTTTATTTAGGACAGGAAAATAAATATTTAAATACAAGTAAAAAGTGTTCTTGAGGAGAGTGTTTCACTACTTTGCCACAAGATCTGAGAACTAAACTATAATATGACTTGGTATCCTCATAAATCCTGACCACCTGATCATGTACACCTTTTAATACTGGCAGGGGAAACATGGATCCTTTCCCTACAGTATAACATTCTTAAATAATCTGGATATCCAACTTGCTATTATTCTGTCAGTGTCTAATAATTCAATGGCAACAATGAAGAAATGACCAAATGAAAGCCACCAAGTTTCTTTTCCACAACAGGTCAATGAACTGGCACTTTCTCCCCAATTATGTAAGGTATAGCTGTATATAACTATACAAACAGAAAAGTAAAATCACCAAGAGTACAAACATATAGCACAACCACTGTTGTCATACAGATCAATCACGAACAGACTGGGTTTGGATTTGGTTTTTTCCCATAACATTATCATAATGCATACATAACATATTCTGTTTTCCCACTAACATTATATTGCAATTATACTTCTGTGTTATTTCCAACCTCTTCACAAGCTTCTGAATGGGTGCATAATATCTAGACCAGTGAATACATCATAATTGTTTCCTATAACTATACAGTTAGGCGATTAAAGTTTTTCTTTCATAAACATTATTAATAAGTACAGCTGTGGGCATAAACTCTTTACGTGCTCAGCTTCTTAGGAAAGATTCTCAAAAATGTATTTAACACATCTATAAGCCTACAGATATTAACCGCCAAAAAGCTTTTGCCAGCAGCAATGTAGAAAATGCAAAAAAATTTAAACAAAAATCTCTACACTCTGCTTTGAGTACATGTTCATGTGAAGGTTGTAAGTTAAAAGTCTCTTCCCACAACCTTCCAATTCTGAGAAACTTCTCACATGCAGGAGGTTAAGGTGGGATAGAATGGACATACTTGCAGTACTTTTACTCACTGCATTGACATAAACAGATTTCATTTTTATGCTACTTCACTGCTCCAAGAGTGGACAGCTGAAGTGATAAATATATTGTACATTTTATTTAAACTCTTAACATGACTTTAAAATTTGTAATATACATTCATGGTCTATGTTAATGTTAAGCAGCATATACCAAATGAATTTGCTTTTATGTGTATCACAAATAGAGCTAAACAACTACAAGTCAAATAGTTTACTTCATGCATTCCTACCTTATAAAAACAGGCAAAACCTTATTAACATAAGAAAACTACCAATATCATAAGTTATTACAAATATGAAATATGTAGTTACCACTGGACTATGAGACTAAAAATAATCTCACTACTTTATAGTTAACACTAAAATTATGTGTTCACTGCACCCTCAATCAATTGTATGTGGCCAATCCGTAAAGACCTAGTTCATTATTTCTAGATCAAAATTAAGACATAACCCAGAAGCAAACAATGTACTAACCCTCCCTCCCTTTTTTCCTGTAAAAACGTCTGACTTCTCCAGTAATCCAAATGAATCGTGATGTTGCACAGATATAGTAGTGTACAGAAAACAAATTTTGCTTCTTGAACTATACAGATTTTAAAGTTAACTGGGTGTACTATAACACATGAACATTTTATTCACTGACCTAAAATGTATTTCATAATTTAAAACAAATCCCAAAGAGACTCAGAAAAGATGACAGTCTCTTACCCACGCCAACCCCTCCTCCTTTACTGTAGATCTAGAGATGGGAAAAGCAAATTTGTGGACAGGGAGACATTAAAAACATCACCTCTCCCCATTCCACAAAGTACTGTTTCAATACCATGTTCACTTCCCCCTTCTAACACCCAACTATGTAATTATATCCTGTTTCCTAATAATTTCAGGTATGCAATTGTCTCAGAGAGGACCATGCGGTTTTCTTTCAGTGGAAAATACCATGGTTATTCATCATGACACAGCTCCTTCTCCATTCTCAACTTACAGGCTTCTCTAACTAAAGTCTGAGATTTCAGGGAAGTGAGCCTGACTCAAACTGTCATCTATACTGCTGGACACTGGCTATTTTGGATTGCTGTGATCTGCCTTTGTTTCTCTACTCCTTGATGTCCCTGACAATTTTCAATATCCTTTCTTTGCTAGCACCAGTTTAGGGTTAAGGAGAATATTTCCTGATTTTGTCAAAAATTGGTGAGGTTCCACTAGAAAACTTTACCTGCCCTCTTCTTCCACTAATTTTTAACAGATTATAGGGTCCAAACAAACGAGAAACATAAAAGGCTTATTTAAAATGACCCATATATTCAAGCCACTCCAAGATACTTAGAATTACCAAAACATACATTTAAAATGGCAAATAGGTAAGAATAAGATGTTTAAATTCCAGACTTCTTGGATTATTTATTTAAAAAAAAAAAGAAAAGAAAAGAAAAGAAAATAGCCATTATGTACACTTACCTTACATAAAACTTCAACAGGAGTGGACATCTTCTTTTCACTAATCTTTTCGTATTTTTGCTTTTTTGTTGCAGCCTGTGGAAAAAAATAATCAAACAGAGACATATTTACTACTACTGAGAAGAACCTTTTGAGTTTAACCCACTAGACATAAATGTAAACTTGAGACAAGAGAAATCATAACCTAGAATAAAAAAGAAATCAAAGTACAATATACAAAAATTTTCCACCCCTAAGCTGTTAGTTTTATGTGAGTTTCTACTTTAAAAACATTTTTAGCTGGGGGCACCTGGGTGGCTCAGTGGGTTAAGCCTCTGCCTTCAGCTCAGGTCATGATCCCAGGGTCCTGGGATCGAGCCCCGCATCGGCTCTCTGCTCGGCAGGAAGCCTGCTTCCCCCTCTCTCTCTGCCTGCCTCTCTGCTTACTTGTGATCTCTGTCTGTCAAATAAATAAATAAAATCTTTAAAAAAAAACAAAAAACAAAAAACATTTTTAGCTGTTAGGAAAGAGTGAGTTAATAAGAACATGATTTAATGGGTGAAGTTAAATCTGAAATGAGTTTTCACAACCCATATTCAACATGAGGGAAGGAGATAAATAACCAAAAACAGTGCCCATCATTTAGTAATATTAGTATGTGAAGTGAAAATAATTTTCCAATGTAAAAATAATTAATAATGGATAGAGCTACCCACACAAGCATGGAGCAACTGTCTAGTTCACAGATGCTCAATAAATACAGAGACCATTTTCCTTTAAAGGACCAATAAAATGGGGCACCTGGGTGGCTCAGTCGTTAAGCGCCTGCCTTTGGCTCAGGTCATGATCCCAGGGTCCTGAGATCGAGCCCTGCATCACGCTCCTTGGCCTGCAGGAAGCCTGCTTCTCCCTTTCCCACTCCCACTGCTTGCATTCCCTGTCTATGTGTGTGTCTCTCTCAGATAGATAAAATCAATCTTTAAAAATAAATAAATAAGTAAGTAAATAAATAAATAAATAAATAAAGGGCCAATAAAGTGTCAAAATAGCCTTTAAATTCTAGGACACGGTAAGTTATCATTAACACTCACAAAAGTCAAGATGAAAGTACTAATTAATAGAAACAAATGTTAGGATAATTAAGTAAGATAGCTAATATTACTAGAAGAACCAGTTTTACTACACATAAAAGTATACATTTTCAACATACTGGCAATACATCAAAATGAGACCGTCTCCACCTTTAATTAGCCCATGTCAATTTCCATTCAGATAAAACTACAGGTTACCAATGGGTACCTGCTTACTATTCTAAAGGAAATTAAATCTTTAGGACTGACTACAGGATTCGATTACCTTTATATTCTTGCTAAAATGATCATATTTTATTTTCCAAAAGATAAAGAGTAAAGATAATTCACTCTCGGAAAGCCTCATGTTTGAAAGGGATCTTAAAGTTCATCTCCAATATGTATTTTTATTCTTAAAACAAAAAACTGGTAATGAGAGTCTCATTTACCTTTAGTCCTTGCCATGGCAGGCTGGTTCTATTAAAATACATCAAAACATATCCTAATGATTCCATGTCATCTCGGCGACTAGAAAAGAAAACGTAAAGTTATGAGTTGGAATTTTTATGGAAAATGTGAAAGAAAGGCAGGTACCCAAGAAGTTTTCCCAAGTGAGGAGAAAGAGCAATTTGGTGAATTGTGAAAGAAGGTGCTTAAAGTTTAAAAAAAAAAAAAAAAAAAAAAAAAAAGTTCATAAAGAGTTACTTCTAAACAAAATTTTCTCACAGAACACGAAATCATAAAATCCAACAGTCCTGCAATTTGATTTCTAAAGAACAAAAAGGATTTAGATGAACAACTTTCTAAATGAAGTTAATGAAGATGGAAGAACAAAGTAGCAGGACACTTTATTAAGTTTTGCAGAAACTTATAAAAAAGAACTTGAGGGGGTGCCTGGGTGGCTCCGTTGGTTAAGCAACTGCCCTTGGCTCAGGTTATGATTGCGGAGATGGAGTCCCACCATCAGGCTCCCTGCTCCACGGGGAGTCTGCTTCTCCCTCTGACCTTCTCCCCTCTCATGCTCTCTCTCACTAATAAATAAAAATCTTTAAAAAAATGAAATAAAATAAAATAAAAACTTGAGGAATCCTGAAATAAATTAACATTTTATTTATTTATAAAAAGATTTTGTTTATTTATTTAAAACAGAGGTGAGACAACACAAGCAGGGGGAGTGGTAGGCAAAGGGAGAGGCTCCCCCTGGGTGGTTCAGTCTGCCTTCGGCTCAGGTCATGATCCCAGGGTCCGGGATCAAGTCTCTCATCCTGCTCCCTGCTCACTGAGGAGTCTGCTTCTCCCTCAGCCTGCGGCTCCCCCTGCCTGTGCTCTTTCTCTCTGACAAATAAAATCTTTAAAAAATAAAATAAAACTAATTAAACATCTATATGAATATATATACCCACATACACTGAACATTTCCTAAGCTTAAAATTCTTCTCTTCAAGTTTCCTAACCTGGAAGCCTATCATTTATCATTTCTATGCTTGTTTTAAGGAGCAAAAACTGACTGAGAAAAGACAACAACAAAAAACCAGAAATAGAAAATAGAAGACAGAAACAGCAAAGAGATCATGACAATGTTTACCTCAATCCAGATCCTATTAATTTACATAGGAGTGAAAGGGTAAAACATGAGATGATGGCCCAACCACCCCCTCTTGGTCCATCAGGACTCAGGTAACATTTTCCTTGTAAAAATAAGAAACTAATGCATTCTTCTCCAAAACTTATATTACTAAAACATAAAAAAAGTCCAAGATCAGCATTAAGAAAGTAAGTACTATCTTCAGCTGCAAGAAAAAAATATACATCAAGATAAAACTGCATGTATGCTAACTTTCCATCAGGTAGTATTTTCTCCCCAAGAGAAACCTTTAACCTTTAACAAACCTTTAACCTTTAACAAAAACAAAAGGTCTCTCATTTAATTGGCTTCTCAGCAGGGACTAAAGCCAACAGGTAAAAGGATTAACAAGCATCCTTCAAATCCTCAGCCAAGAGACAACTTTATATATCAGAAGAAACTAGTTAAAATATTTCCAAAAACCCTTTAGTGACTATTGCTATGGAGCTGATTAACTCATTAATTTTTCAAACTCACCTCTGTTCAATACCAAGATGTGCATTGATGCTAGCGTATCGGGCAGTGCCAGTGAGATTTTTATCTTCTCTGTATGGTATGTGTTGCCTTGTCCTGTTGTCTCTGTACTTTTTGGCCAAACCAAAATCAATAAGGAATAACTTTAAAAGAAAATAAAGAGGTATTAGGCTTCCAACCTTGTTCAAATGAACTGCTTTTTAGTCATTAAATGGCATTTATACTATCTAGTTTAACTGTATCAAAATAAAGTATCACAGGCAGAAAACATGAATAAACTTAACACTTCAACAGGCTTCTACTAGTCCTCATCAAAAGAACAAGTTAAAAGAAAACAGTTAAGTGGTTGATCCTTGTGAGCTGAACCAACTTCACAGGCCCAGTTACTACACACTCAGGAGCCTGTCTTTAGAAGAGTAACGGAGAAATATATACATGTTTGATAGAGTTGAAAAGTGCTGTGTGCCATGATGAAATCTGTCATCCTGTTACTGTTGGTAAACAAGCATGAGGTTTCAAAAACTAAACATAAAACTATGTGGAATTCTTCCATTTTACAAAGGCCATTCTTCATTCAGTATGACAACAGAATGTTCATTATTTAAAATTAGACAACTCAAAGTTTGATACTGACAACAAAACCAAGATTTTTATTAACAAAAAATAAGGACTTTTTTAAAAAAAGCATGCATTACATTCTACAACTTCTCACTGACATTTATCCATTTATCAAGTTAACCTTCTGGGAAATACAGTAAGTTGATAAAAAATCTTTAAGAAGTACTTAGTATTTGCTTATATCAAGAGAACTTAAAATTAGTTTAAAGGAGCTAATAACTAAAAACCAGACTAATATTTTAGAACAAAATAATGTTTAGTGCTGTCTTATTTATATGGTACACAGGGAATAAGATACTCATTTATAATGTAGCTAATTTTTAAAAGTAACTAAAGTTTATTCGTCATGATTAACACTTTAAAAGGAGGAAAAAACCTGGTTTTGATCAAGAAGAAAAAAAAATCCAAAATACATTCATATTTACCTACCTTCTAAAGCAAAATAATCTTCAATTTTTAGTCTTGATCATAAATTCACTTATTAAAGTTATGTTTACAAAAATTATCCAACAAGGCAGGTCTATGTGGCCTTACAGTATACAGCCCTAGACTTTTTTCTCCCTAGTTATACCTACATTTTATAGTTCTTTCCATTAAGTAAATTTTGGATCCCTTCTGCCCAGTTTATAAACTGTGATGTCCTAGGAAACCTGTTACCTAGCCTACTAGGGTCTGTATAAGAATAAATAAAGTGACTGATTTAGAGAAAAGATGTGATCAAATATTTGCCTCTCTTAGGAGGATGAAAAACACTTTGACCAAGGGGTTCCTGGCTGGCTCAGTTGTAAGAGCATGAGACTCAATCTCAGGGTTGTTCAAACCCTCTATTGGGCATAGAGAGTACTTAAATATAAATAAATCTTGGAAGGAAGGAAGAAGGAAGGAAGGAAAGGGAAGGTGGGGGAGAAGAAGAGAAGAGGAAAAAAAACACTTGTATCAGGCAGGCATTGTACCCTAGCCTTTAACTGGACATCGGGATGGGAAAGACACTGAGGTTTGCGCTTGTGTCACCAGTGTAACAAGGAGATACTTATTTTCACCTGGTCTACTATAAAAGAATAAAGATTAAATTTTTAATAAAATTTAAATGGATGAGGGCTCACTAGTAAGATTAATTCACTTCCTCAGCAATTGCATTATTATACGTCAATGAGAAAGTCTTACAAAACAAAGAGAAATTAAGCTCACACTCAAATGGGCTCAGCATACAAATATTAAAATGAGCAAAATACATTTCTGTTAAGCAAACCAAAAATTATGACTTAAGTTCTCCAGATTCACACTGAAAAGAAAACAAGGCAAAACAAATACAAAAGGACATCCAGCTTCACAGTATCTTTAAAAATACCCCTAAGAATTATGTGGGTTTTAAACAAAAGATGATTAGGACATAGACCCTCCTCTAAAGGATATTTTCTGGGATTGCTTCTTTTAGTACTTCAAAGCAGAGGAGAAGACAGGAACAACTCTCACATGATTATACCTGATAGTTTCATTCCTGTCTAAGTCTATATTCAGCAGCTCCATTTGCAACTCAGTAACCAGACATTTTCTAATAACTTTATAAAAGATTATTTTATGAAAACTCAGCATTTACTAGAGTTCTTTCCTTCCACGACTCTAAAGGATGAAATGTAGTTTATTAAGAAAACAAACACTATCTTCTCAAATATCTCCAACTTTATTACAAAACAAAAGCTACAAACCAAATCAACTCTAAATTTTCTCTTATAAAAACTGAGAATGAATGAGTCAGGAAAAAGAATTATAACTGCTAAACAGAGCTATCTTATTTTAAGAGCAAACAACTGAAGAGGAAGATTATTTAAAGTAAAAAAAAAAATCTAAATCTCTTGGTAGTTCATCATCTGGTACTATCAAGCTTCTTTAGCAGCCCTCTCTGCTTTGAATTTAAAAATGAATATAAACATAATGGAAGTGTTTACATGACACCACCAGATACAACCAAAGATACAACCAAACAGCCGCAAATATATAAACAATCAAACAAGGAAAAGTCAATATTCAGTAAGTTGTAAGATAATGTATTTTTCATAGGTTTGCATATGCAAAAGAAGTCTAATTTTTTTGGTAGGTCAAGGTGCTTTTCTGTGCATTTGTATTTAGTGTTCCAAGTAAAATCTGTTCCTGTCTTATAGAATGCAAGGCATGTGGGGATGAATTAATGTTGGACATACTGGGGTAACCATCCAGCAGAGGTGCACTGTTCTCAGAAACACTATCTCTAATTTTTTAGTATATCGAGCAATTTTTCTCTTAACCAGGGGCCACATTTCTCTGACCTCCCCAAAAATTCACACACAAGATAACTTTTCTTCACAACCCAGCTAACCTGTATGTAGAGAAAATAAACAATTCAATTTTATGGAAATTATTAAATGATTCTACTACAAAATATAAATTAAATGTGTGAATGAATGGATAAGCAAACATAGGGCACTAGGTGCTTTATAATGTGCCTAATTACCCAGCAACTCCTCTCCCTACCTCCAATTAAGAATCAGTCACAATTATTATTTCTTTGTGAATGAAAGTTGAGTTTGAATTTCGGAAACCTATTTAACAGCAGAAAATGGTACCTGGAATAATGCTGGGCAGTATGGAAAAGGATTAAATGATCACCCAGATGATGTATGTGGTACAAAGTATAGAACATACTTTGAAACTACAAAGTATGCTCATAAACCAGATACAACTTTTCTCTTTTGATTCCTCATGCCAATATATACTTCCTTCTCAGTATACACTAAATTGTATGATGAAGATTCATTTGCTCAAGAAGTTAACAAAGCTCATTAACTTCTATGAAAGTAAAAGAAAATGTGAGGAGTTCTACCTACATAAAAAATATTTTAAAGAAAATTACTAGGTGTTTACTTAGCTTGCCAAACACTAAATCATCAGGTTATGCATTCCTTTAATTTATCTTACGTGTTATTAATTGGCAATTATTTGGTAAGTGCTTCAGTGATATTACTGTTATACTGTCAGACTGCAATGTCTTCTAGTTCCAGGGCACATAATGCTCTTTCATCATCTCATGCTATTTGGTTGAAGTTGGAGAATTCACAGATTGAGGAAAATCAATTCTAGAAACACTAGATCTCAAATCTGATCTACACTTACCTGAAGTTCACTAGGGAAGGGGAAGAGAGTTGAGGCAGAATATATTCATCACACAGCACTGATGCAACTGAATTTAGATATATTTCATGCATTAAGTTCTTCAACTCCAAATACATTTTTAAAAACTAAACAGTCTATCTCAAGTTTACCATTAAAGAATTTCAATACTAGACCAACATATCATTTCCTCATGTAGGATGTTAGAGATCTAAACATAATCCTATTTTCATTTAGGTTTTCTCTAAACTTTACAAATTTTAAGCAAAAGCCACAAAAAAAAAAAATCTTAGTAATGTTATATGTTTGCCAAGTATGTCTGAATAATGCCAACGTAAGAGAGCTTGAGCAAGATCTACATTCTCCAGAATTAAAACAAAACAAAAATAATCAAAATAAAACAATAAAAAAGAAAAGCACATGAATTTGGGATTGAGGTTGGAATAGGAGACAGTTTCAGACCTGGTTTAATCCTGAGAAAGATGGGTCCTGAGAAGTACTAACAGTCATGCTTCTTTTCCTCTTCCCCACTGGAGATTCTAAACACTAAACAGACAATAGAGGGTGGCAGTGCATCAAACAGTATTGCTTACATTGCAACAATGGCCGGCGCAGACAGGCAACACCGAGGCATTAGAGAAAGAACAGGGTAGCCAAATGCCATCCTTCTTCCACCAAGCACTGTAGCTTCTCAGTTTTCCAAATAAAAATCACATACTCAAGAACATTTGAATTCTGGAAAGTACTCAAGTTTTTAATGCCACTATATTGTGTCACTGCCTGAATCAGGGATAGCAATGGTGACATTTGGCTCTTTTAATTTTTTTAATCAAAAATGGGGAATTTGGCTCTGCAATATTTGGTATCACAATCTGCCCTTCCCCAAAAAAGATTGCACAGGGGAAAAAAATCTTCAGTAAGGAAGAGGTAGAAGGCATTTAGTCACCTCAAAATTGGTTTTCATAAGCATGCAGGGCTGATTACTGGAAGAGATGAACAAATTCACTAAGATTGGAGTGGTCACTCCTAAAATATCAAATTCAGAACAATTTTCCGAGTAAGAAATTTGACTTAAAAACAAAAACAAAAACACCTCAAAAGCCCCCCACTCTTTTTTCCCCCATGAATAGAATACTACTACAACAAGCTAACAACCAAAGAATCCAGTCTCATAAAACTGGCATTTTTTTCAAACTACGATACAGAAAGAAAACACTAAAAACCAACTACATAAACAAAACACTAATCTAAAATGTTCAAGAACACATTTAGAATTTGAATCTTAGTTAAGTGAAACACTACACTTCTACTCTAGGGTCTCTCTGAACTGTATTAACAGCAAGCAGCTCCACAGTGGTTTTTTTTTTTTATTCTCTCTCGAGAGGACACAAGATCCTAAAAACGTTTTCATCACGGGGCAAATTGGATATCCTAACACAACTATGTAATTAACAAGCTATTTTTAAAGGGGGGGAGCGGAGAGGTATTATCTAGGTCATTTATTAAAGACAAAAACCATGTACTGCAATGTCGACATGCAGAACACAGATCACAAGAGGATAACGGGTTTTTAGCAGGAAGAAAATGGGGAAAGAGGGCTGGGAAATGGCCAAAGATCAGGGTCAAACTAACAAAACTGCCCAAAAAATTAAGACTAGTAATTTTTTTTTTCAATTTAATTACCAGGTTTTGCAATAACAATTAAGAACCTGGATGCTTCAGAGACAGAAGCTACATAGTATTAAAAAAAAAAATAAGCAGCAGCAGCAATCTGGGAATGGCAAGATAAGTTATATGTAGATATATACACCTTTCATTATTTAAAGTTTAGCTTTCAACAAAAAAATTTAATTTCCTAAAACTTGGTCAGATCAACATTAATGTCTCACACATTAACAAGTAACACCAGTTCTAATGGTAATGGCTACAAGTTGGCATTCATACAGGCAAACAAAGGTAAACATTTATAGCCAGACCTAAAAACACCGAACATTTCCTAGTTATTCAATAAAACAAATGGGAATCTTCCTTCCAAAAACAAAACAAAACAAAACAAAACAAAAAACCACAAAAACCAAAAAGCCCCAAGTTGTCCTGAAGTTGAGAATTTCTATCAGATCATCAGATCATAATATGCTTAGTGCATTGCCAATGCTGCCTGTCTGCCCGAGCTCAACATTGAATCGATAAATAAAAGCAATTCACTCAATAAAACTAATCATTACAGAAAAATTGTCAACACAGTTAGTTTCTAACTGCAGTCATGCGTCACTAGCTAAAACCCGATCACCCCGTATGTTAACCATTCTGAGACCCCAATGAACACTAATTTTGTTGTATGAATGTTTGTTTCACTTGACTATATATTTTCCTTTGAAAGGGGAAGGTGGGGTGGAGAATCTACCCAACTTGGCACCCAAGTAAGAAACTGTCAACTACTTTTGAAGCAGACCCAAAAGTTATCCTTTTGAATACACAAATCCAAGGACTGAAGAATTCTCATTATGATCATGCTCAGTCAGCAAATGTTAACGCCATGGTGATAGATGGGTCAGTGGTTCCCACGCTGGCACAAGCACATATATTACAAAAACCCACACTTTAGAGACAAAGGTTAAAATCTGATTTTAGCATTCAGGAAAAAAAGAATATGGGTTTTTTTACTATTTGAATGAGTGAAAAACAGATACAACTGTTTAATAATTAAATAACAGATATTACATTTCAGTATAAAGCCCTTGGGAATTTTTTATTTCCATACACGTAATTAACCTTGGTTGGGTAAGTTGGGAGAAAATTTACTTCAAGTTACTAAGTTAATAGAGTTAGCTGATTATCCTTCTAGCACAATCTTTTAAAGCAATCATCAAAAGCAAATACAATTTCCTATGACTTTTTAAAGACTGAAAGTTTACCAAAGCAATTCTTGGGAGTTTTTAAAACTCTTTGTTCTTTCATGCAAAGAACATTTGACTAACCTTATTACAGTGACGCCCAATACCCATTAGGAAGTTATCTGGCTTAATGTCTCTGTGTATAAAATTCTTTGTATGCACATATTCAATTCTACTGATCATCTGGAAAAAAAAAAAGAGGGGGTGAGAGATAATTATGTAATTTGAATTATGATACAAGAAAGCAACACATTATTTCTCAATTATTTCAAATAATTCAATTAGATCACATGTATATTTTAACAACTTCATTTAGAGTTGTCTGACTAACAAAATTTTTTGTGTAAAGGGAAAACAGGCTCTTCATTTATCTCTAGTTTGATGGATACTCAAGTATAAACCTGCCCTGTTCTCTGGCATGTTCTAGTACTGATTACAAACATAACAACATCTAATCTGGCAGGAAGGATTGGTGTTTGCAATTTTTAAATTACAAAAGTAATAAATTTAGACTTGTTTCAGTTAGAGCTAAGTCATCAACATTCCACACCCAATTCTCTGCCCCAAGGTAACCTGTGTTACAACAGCATGGCATTACCCATTTCCACGCTCTTATTTACACACATTGATGAACTCAAGGCACACATATGGGAATGGAGATGTTGACCAATTCAAAGATATAAGCTGTTATTGTTTTAAACTGAAATAAAAGCATCCTATTCATTTTATTCTTGTCTGCTTCTTTTTATTAACTTAACATTCCTGGAAGTTAGTAGCATACAACAAAAACATAAAACATGGGGACATACACATGCTAGGTTTTATTTCTTAGATGCTTTTTGAAGTCTCCCATGTTTTTTTCTCCACACAAGTAATCACATTCAAAAACTGATGAGTGTGTCATTCTAACAACCTTTTCTTAATTTCTTAGAAATTCTGCCAAGTTAAATGGTGTAGGTCCTAGCACAGTTCTTAACAGCCGGTATAGATTCTACGGTATAGATTAAGTTTTCCCCAACCATTATTCCCACTGTAAAGAATAATAATGCTATTAACATATTTAAATTAAATATATCCTTACCTACTACTGTTTTTATTTCTAAGGGCTATAAACCCCATACAACTGTATGGAGAGAGACTGGGTTGATGCAGCTATCATTCTGATAGGTGACACCAGACTGTCTTAAAATAGGCTCTAACAATTCAGTTTCTAGCAGTACTTCAGAATATTCCTTTTCCCATTGGCAAACTTATTTTAGTTCCTTCTAAATTTTGCCAATGACAGGTACTGACCTCACTTCTTCGCTAACAGTTTGAAAGTCTGGTCATTTATTATTTGGAACTGCCAATTTGTATTCTGTCCATTGTTCTTTTGGCCTGTCCCTTTTTTAATCAATTTTAAGAATTCTTTGCATATAACAATCTTTTTTTATCTGTTATGTAAATAAATTTCAATTTTAAAAAACTGCCTTGTTAAAAAAAAAAACTGTCTTGTTACTACAGCATCACTTTTTTCCCCTATCACTTCTAGAATAAACTGTCAAATTATCAAATATGTCTATCTTTTCTGGAAGACACTTAAAAGTATCTGAAAATGTTTTCAATAACCAAAGACTAACTTTATCTTTCTACCCTATGTTCTTGCTCTTCTCAGTATATCTGTCAGGATTCTATTTTTTATTGTCCCCACTTTCTCTACAGCTTTTAATACCATACAGATTCTGAACTTTGACAAAAATGTCTCTTAAATCTATAATCTCTAGCTTAAACTATAATTTCAAGGAAGCAGATGTATATGCAATGTCCAAACAGCACATTTAGTTATTGCAGCAACTTGTACTTTATTAAAGAAGAAAAACAGAACATTTCTCTCACTTAATGTACTTAGTTGTCCTAGGCTGATACCCATCATTAAACCAGGATCATTGATTCACTGAGAAAAGGTGTGGCCAAAGATAATAAATGGCACCAACTACTTACCTTCAAGTGTTCTCTATCACCTAGAGCCAACACTTAGCAGCTAACTCCTTAAACCACAACACTGCTTTATTGCAACCCCCTTCTCTGAAATACATTTTTTTCTATTACCAGTGTACCCAGTATAGACTTCTATCACAAAACCTTGAACACTGTACCTTTTCCATTTTTTCTCTATAAACCATACACTCCTAGGGCAAAGGGACTAGAGTTCTTACTCTTCTCTGCACCCTCTGGTGCTAAGTAAAGCAGAAGGCCCTGAATAAATGCTCACTTATGAATACCTATGTGTTACAGAACCTATGGAATATAAACTCTTTTATTAGGATTCATTTACATGTTACGTATGAGGAGGATCTTAACTTTCAACGTTTGAGTTCTTAACATTCCACAATTAAAACAACGTAATCTGCTAATATTTCCTTGAGCCACTCAGTGTTTTTACATTAATCTTACTGGAATATCAGGCTCTGATTACAGAGAATGAACACTATTTTCTAATCCCCTGAATTTATACTTTTAAAAGTTCTACCTCAAATGCCAGTGTATCATCTCATTTTATTTTGACGTCCAATCTAAATTTTAAAAATGTTATTCTCTTCCACAGCATTTTTACCTATCAAGCCCTTTCTTCAAAAATCTTATAAAGAAACCCGCTATATTCTTCACTAAAATACAGATTCCATCTGATAAAACAATGTGAAAACTACTATTCTACAAGTTAGCAACCAATACAACCCTTTTTTGTCCTATGCCACAGGAAAACCTCTATTAAACTGAATTAAAGTAGTACACTTGAATGAGTATACCTACTATTATGTCTTTTTTATTTTTGCTGAACATAAGGTTACATAGCACTCTGGTTTATAAAAATTTACATTACAGTTAAATTATTAGTATTCTCAATTTTTATTTTCATCAAAATTCACATACCTGGTCAGCTAACATAAGTACAGTTTTCATTGTGAACCTTCTTGAACAGAAATTGAAGAGGTCTTCGAGGCTGGGTCCAAGAAGATCCATGACTAGCACATTATAGTCTTTTTCCTGACCATACCACCTAACAAAAGACAGAAAGGGAGAGCTTTATGAAAAGGTGATTAGCACTTACTATCACTAAATTTCTAAAAAGCTCTAGCAACAGAATAGTTTTCCTTATCTATTTATTTTATTGAAGTTACTACGGGGCACCTGGCTGACTTGTCTGTGGAGCATGCCACTCTTGACCTTGGGGTTATGAGAGTTTGAGCCCCACAATAGGTAAATGGATTACTTATAAAATAAAATCTTTAAAAATAAGTAAACAAATAAAGGTACCATGTATTTTTTTAAATCTACATTTTAATTGCTACACCCAAAGTGGTGCTGGAACTCACAACCCTGAGATCAAGAGTGGCATGCTCCACTGACTACGCCAGCCAAGTGCCCCAGTTAGGTTTTATTTAAGATTAAGTTTCCCTCGGGGCGCCTGGGTGGCTCAGTGGGTTAAAGCCTCTGCCTTCTGCTCAGGTGATGGTCCCGGGGTCCTGGGATCAAGCCCCACATCAGGCTCTCTGCTCAGCAAGGAGCCTTATCCCTCTCTCTCTGCCTGCCTCTCTCCCTACTTGTGATCGCTGTCAAATAAATAAATAAATAAATCTTAAAAAAAAAAAAAAAGATTAAGTTTTCCTCTATTCAGATGATGAGTCCATTGACTGACTATACTGCCCAACACAAAATAAGAATAAGAAAAGTTTCTTCTGTCAAGCGGTCCCACTGCCATATTAAGATAGAATACAGAACCTGCATGGTCACCTTGACACTCCTCTTACCAAAGCATATGAATTCTATATCCATTTGCTACTGATTCCTATGACCTCTGTTAAGTTCCTTAATCTCACCTGATACTACTTCCTAAAAAGAAATGAAGGAGACTACCAATCTTACAAAGCAAAGACCCTTTTCTTTCTTCAAAGATTTATTTGACAGAGAGGCAGATAGAGAGGAAACACAAGCAGGGCATGTGGGAGAGGGAGAAGCAGGCTTCCCACTGAGCAGGGAGCCCCATGTGGGGCTTGATCCCAGGACCCTGGGATCATGACCTGAGCCAAAGGCAGACAGATGGTCAATGGCTGAGCCACCCAAGTGTCCCCAATTTGTCTAGGTTTTATTTAATTTTTTTTCTAATTTATCTAGGTTTTAAAGAAAAAGAAATATTCCATACAAGAACACCAAATCCAGGCAACAGCTCTTTCTGCCCAAGGGTCCTGTTCCTGTGCTTTAATAAACCATTTTTCTGCATCAAAAACAAAACAAAACAACACCACCAAATCCAGAAAGAGCTAAGGCAGTGAGAAGGCACAAAAAGATAAAGGTAAAAGGGGAAAGCAAAAACCAACTCTCCTTAGACCACATTTCATCTCTCCACGACAGATTTCCATGGATATCTCACTAAGAAAACTAAAACAGTTGAGCAAATTTTAGAACCATCCATCTAACCCAATTACCAACCCGAAATGTAAAAAGCAAAAATTCCCATTTCCTTTCTTCATGCAATTACACAGGACTTCATAAAGAACTCTGAGAAGTCATCTGCAAAATTAGCCTTTAACAGAATAGTCTCATAATAATTAGAAACTGGAAAGAATTAGGTGAATTTCAGAAACATGCTAAAGAATAAAAAGTTACTGGGCATTTTCCTCCTTACTTGCATTAAGTGTGTAAGACAGATCTGCTATTCTCAACATCAAAAAAATATATATAAATAAACAGTCCATAAAAGGCAGCTAAAATAGAAATGTTCGAACGCATTTTCTCCACAGAAAAACCATGTATTTCTGAATTAGGTCTTCCTGTTGCACAGAGATTGGTACCGAAACTCCTTAAACCTAAGTGACAGGTGTGTTTCTATCTTTCATACTTCCTTTTGGTCTCAAGGAATATATAGCTTATTTCTCTAAAGTTAACCCACAACTCTCCCATCTGTGCTTTCCACCTAACTCATCCAGACATTATTACACACAGATTAGAGCCAAGAACAGTCTACTACTCATCCAAATCCTACTTATTCGGTTTCCACCCTCACTTCTGTGTTTTCCACTCTTATTCTAAATGAGCTTCTAACTCTCTACTTTCAACCCCAAAGTCCTAACACCCAGACACCAAAGAAAGCTTCCTCAAGTAGCCTGTTCCACACTGCTCCATTTCTGACTTCCCATAGCCACTGACTGCTACTTGTATACACAATCAAACCCCTTGACAATACAATATGCGGGTGCTGTCATTTTGTGGTGTTTCTGTCTCCATACCTAGTAGGTCAGACCTTACTGTTTGTTTGAAATTGTCTTCAAAGAACCTGGGTAATGAGCAAGCAAGCACTAACCTGATTCTCTGAGATCATTTAAGTCTGCAGACAATCTGAAACCAACCAATACAAAAACTCAGATATTATCTTTAGACCTTTATAATGTATGGTGTACGTTGCTAGTATATGATAAAGTGATGTACATATACAATGTAGGTACTTCAAATATCTATGCAATTAAAGAACTCTGGTTTGATTTGGATCTTATTCTTACAAAGTTTCAAAACAAGCAGAAAAAACAAGTAATTTAATGGATGAAAGTTAAAAAAAAAAAGTACAAGAGTCTCATTTTCCATTTACTTGTTTTATTTTTTTTTAAATTTTATTTATTTATTTGACAGAGAGATCACAAGCAGGCAGACAGGCAAGCAGAGAGAGAGAGAGGGAAGCAGGCCCCCTTCTGAGCAGAGTCGTCCCCACCCCATGCGTGGCTCTATCCCAAGACCGTGATCATGACCCAAGCTGAAGGCAGGGGCTTAACACACTAAGCCACCCAGGCGCCCCCATTTACTTGTTTTAAATGAACGCTTTCAGACCTAGAGTTGCCTGACCAATCAAAGTCGAAGGCCAAAGAATGAGTTTAAAATTTATATAACTGTCATTACTTAAAGCATTAAGAAAGCTACCTTAAGTTCTAAAGAGGATGCTAAAAAAGGCAAGGTCCACCTCTTTGCTCTTATTTCCCTTCCTCTAAACCCATATCCAAACTAAACCTAGTTAAAAAATTAAGACACATGAAAAGGAGAATGTAAGAGGGCCTGACAAAAAGTGCTAAGAGAATTCAGAAAACCAAAAGATCAACGGTAATTAAATTTATCCAAAGAAGCCTTGTAAAAATGGTCTATTACCAGTCAGATCTTGACAAAGGGATAATACTTTGAAAAGGAAAGTAGTGGGACGCCTGGGTGGCTCAGTTGGTTAAGCAGCTGCCTTCGGCTCAGGTCATGATCCCGGTGTCCTGGGATCGAGTCCCACATCGGGCTCCTTGCTCGGCAGGGAGCCTGCTTCTCCCTCTGCCTCTGCCTGCCATTCTGTCTGCCTGTGCTCGCTCTCTCTCCCTCTCTCTCTCTCTGACAAATAAATAAATGGAATCTTTAAAAAAAAAAAAAAAAAAAAAAAAAAGAAAAGGAAAGTAGTAAAGGGGCATGCTAGGCAGGGGCAAGAATAAACTCCAGGCTCTTATTAAGAGGAAAGTCAAGGTGACTTATAATTCAAGGCTTCATTATAGACTCTTGAAAGCCAAGCTGAAAAGCTTTAAATTCTTTAAATAACTGGGTGAACTATCAGAGTGTGGTGGGGGACATAATATAATTCAATCAACATTTTAAGATTAGCCTTGGCATCAATACGAATTGTAGAAATGGGGGAGTGGAAGAAGGAAGAGAATGACATAGTGACCAATTAGAAGTGTCATGGCTGGGAGCGCCTGGGTGGCTCAGCAGGTTGAGCTGCTGCCTTCAGCTCAGGTCATGATCTCAGGGTCCTGGGATCGAGCCCCCCGTCGGGCTCTCTGCTCAGCGGGGAGCCTGCTTCCTCCTCTCTCTCTGCCTGCCTCTCTGCCTACTTGTGCTCTCTCTCTGTCAAATAAATAAATAAAATCTTAAAAAAAAAAAAAAAGAAAAAAAAGATGTGTCACGGCTGGAGGGGTGCGGGGTGGCACTGTCAGTTGAGTGGCCAAACCTCAGTTCTGGCTGAGGCTGTGACCTGTGAAATAAGTATATATGGTAGACCGAGCCCTGCTTCCAGCTCCATGCTCAGCAGAGTCTGCTTGAGATTCTCTCGTTCTCCCTCTCCCACTAGTCCTCTCACACGCTCCCTCTCAAATAAATAAATATATCTTTTTTTTTTTTTTTAAGTGTTATAGTTGGAGATCTGATGTTAGGGATTTTTCTCTGCATATCTCTTTATGGAAATTTAAAAAAAAAACCTTAGAAATGAAATAAAATGACTGAAATATTTTAAGTACTACTATGAGACCTAAGGGCTTCCAAGAACCATAAATTAGTATAATTATCATAAATATGCAGTTCAGGGGACCTGGGTGGTTTAGTCGGTTAAGCATCTGCCTTCCGCTCAGGTCATGATCTCAGGGTACTGGGATTGAGCTCAGCTGGGAGGTTGCTTCTCCCTCTCTCATGCTGCTCCCCGTGCTCATGCTTTCTCACCCTCTCAAATAAACAAGTATGCAGTTCAGATTAAAGCATTAAAATATGTTTTTCATCTCTATGACTAGGATAATAATAACGGAAGACTTGTTTAATTAATGTAGGTCCTCCACTCACACTGTCAGTTTGATAGGTGTGATGGTTAGTTAATCTTTTGCCTGGGCTAAGTAAGGATGTTGGGATAGGATACCTGGTAAAACATTTTTTTGGGGTGTCTGTGAAGGTGTCTCCAGAGATCAGCATTTGAATCAAGATTAGCACTTGAGTGACAAAGTAAAGAGGATAACCTACCCCCAAGTGGAGGGCTTGAACAGAACAAAAGGAAATAAAATTAAAAAGCAGAGGAAGGGAAAATTCGTCTGCTAGAGCTGAGACATCCACCTTCCGCCCTCAGTTATCCATGCTTACAGTTCTCAGGCCTTTAGGCTTGGGACCAAAACTACACCACTGTTTTTCTAGGCCTCCAGCTTGCACACCTCAAACTATGGTACTTTTCTGCCTCCATAGGTGTAAGCCAATGCATCATAATAAATCTCTTTCTGCTTATCTATA